AATAGCCATAGTATGCAACTAGAAAAGCATCTGTAAGGTAGGTTGGAAAAAGTTTTAAATGCATTACTTCTGCACTGTTTTCCATTGTCATTTTTTTCTGCTCTTGATAAACATAAATTTTTAGTACTGAGTTGTGATATCAACAAGCCTTACTCCAATTTTGTGTGTTTGAGTGTGTGTGTGTGTGTGTGTGCGTGTAGAAAGAAAGAGAGAGGGGGCCGGGGGTATAGCTCAGTGGCACAAGAGCCTGCCTGTCAAGCTTAAGGTCCTGAGTTCGACCCACAAACCAAAAAAAAAAAAAAAAAAAAGTGAGTCTTCTGGGATTTTATGGCAGGAGGGGACAAGAGTTTCTCCAAGATGATCATGTGAGCCAGCTGTCTTGGGAAGCTGAGAATGAGTCAGTCAGGGATGCCCATATGTTTCCTGAAGAGGAAACACTTTGCTCCCCTGCCTCATGCCTCTTCAAGACGTAAGGGTTGCTGATGTAGTTAAGGAGGCACGAGGAGGTAGCTCGTGGTCCCAGAATTCTGCGCTTGGACTTGCTGGGAACAGTTGAAGTCGAGGTGAGGCAGCAGTGCCAGCTCCCAGCCTCTGGGCTGCTGCAGGGAGGTCCTTTGTGTTGAGGGACCCCTCGCCTTCCCTCCAATCCAGGTTTATCTTCCTGGGCCGCCTTGTGGTTTGCAGCACATCAGTGGGGGACGATGGCATGCCTTTGGAAGGATCAGTTTGTTTTTCAGGGCCTTACATTTGAATTTGGGTTGGGCCATAAACTGTGTTGAATATACACAGGTGTGGTAAATCCGGGTTTTAAATTAGCCACATAAAAATTCTAATCTCTTCAGACACTGTGTCTTAAACCTTTGGAGGAAGTAAAGTAAAATAAGAAAACCAAAACCCTCCTACCATGAAATCTGTAGCAGTTTTGTTTTCTTTCAGCCGTTCTGGGATGTGAGCCCAGAGCTTAAGGCACATGAAGCAAGTGCTCTACCACTGAGCCACATTCCTAGCTGCCACGGTTTGATAGTGTGTTATAAACTGATGAGCGATGAATAACTTGAATGTAGATCGTACATTCACTTACATTTTCTTCTAAGGGGAAAGAAATCATCGAATATTACCTTCGTCAGCTAGAAGAAGAAGGCATCACCTTTGTACCCCGCTGGACCCCGCCTTCCCTTGGACCCGCTTCAGAGACAGTGTCTTCAAGCAAGAGTCAGGCGGCGTCCTCAGCTGTTGTCGTCCCAGACACTGGCCTCGAGGGGCTGAGCAGTGAGGCCCTCAGCAGCCCTAGTGGGGTGTCTGAGCCCATGGTGGGAACCCCTGATGGTGGGTCTGAGAGGTGCTCTGTTCTCCGGGCAGGACATAGGGGTCATTTGGGGTCTTTTCCTGTCTGCCACACTGCCCGTCCTTCCTTTCTTAGGACATTAGATGCTGCATGGACAGAAGGCCACCTCTTGTTTCTGATCTAGTTTCCTTGTCTTCAGCTTATGTAAAACACTCATTTTATTGTTTATTAGATTTCTTCTATAAGCAGAAAAGGTTATTTCTGGTTAATCTTTCTTTGAGAACCGAAAATATTTTACATTTTTATTAGCCAGAAATACCTTCAGTGAATGTTCAGACAGTAATCCTTTCATTTTTGTTTTTGTTTTGTCTTTTTGAGACAGGGTCTCACTATGCAGTTCAGACTGGGCTTGAGCTCACTTTGTAGCCCAGGCTGGCCTCGAACTTGCAACAATCCTCCTGCCTCAGCCTCCCAAGTGCTGGGATTATAGGCGTGTGCCACCATGCCTGGCTCAGACAATAATCCTTTCAGTACAGAATTCTGTCATCATTAAACTTTTTTTACACTTACTAGGTCCACTTAGGAGGGAAATGCTCCTCATTCTTATATTTGGGCACAGACGAGGTGTGGGACTGACACAGCCAGTAAGTGGCAGGGCTGGGATTGTGTCCAGGAGATCTAGTCCCAGGGTCTGCTTTCATATTAAATACACAAGCACGTAAGCACAGTTCTTTCGGTTTTATTCTTTTTTTTTGTTTTGTTTTTTTGGTCCTGGGAATTGAACTCAGGACCTTGCGCTTGCCAGGCAGGTGCTTGTGCCACTGAGCTATATCCCTGGCCCTTCATTTTTATTATAATGTCCCATTTTTTCAGAAAACATGGAAAAATAAGAAAACACAAAAAAATTCTGCCACTTGGAAATTTTGTTAAAATATCAGCATTTAATCTTATGTTCTGCTGTGCAACTAAACTATGCCATTTGTTTGCTTTCAGTAGTTAACTGCTCACTTGGGGGGCAGTTGGGAGATGTGTTTTATTTTTCACCATGTGAAGTTTTCTTTGTTGTACTTACTTTGCTATCTCATCCTTCTAGTTTATGTTACTTTATCGTGGTGAAGATTTCTTGTGTTCTTGAACACAGTAGCTCTTTGTGCAGTACTAGACTGGGCACTTAACCCAGGTAGTGCCGAGCTATATCCCCAGCTCTTTTTTTTTTTAAGTTTTGAGATGGGATCTTGCTAAGTTACCCACACAGGCCTTGAACTTGTGATCTTCCTGCCTCAGCCTCTGGAATAGCTATGATTACAGGTGTGCACCAGTGTGCCCAGTTTGGCTCTGTTTAAGATAGATTTAGGTACATTTGTTAATATCTATTATAATCATCCTTCTATCACAGATAGTATTGAGTATTGCAGACAGTGGTAACTCAGTGGTAATCAGGGAAAGGTGATTGTGTCAGAAAGCTTGCCTGCAAAAAAGGAAAAAAAAAAAAAAAAAAGCTTGCCTGTAGTGTATTAGTGATTTGGTCTTTGCATCCCTCAAGCGCTTGAGGGCAGCTGTTAAGCCTGGCATCTCCAGTCTCCTCTCCCTCCCATACTCCAAGACTACACAGTGACCTTCCTGAGCAGGATTTGGGAGGCCTCAAGATCCAGAGCTCTGTTCGTTAAATAATGCCATGTAACTTATATTCCAGACAAACTAGATGCAGACTACATCAAAAGGTACCTGGGCGATTTGACTCCACTCCAAGAGAGCTGCCTTATCAGACTTCGCCAGTGGCTCCAGGAGACCCACAAAGGCAAAGTGAGTATCAGGCTCCAGGTGCAACAGTGATGTCTGTGTACAACCCTGGAATCTCTCCTCCTGTTCCTGGTTACTAAGAGGGTTGACTATTCCTGACTACTGTAGACATGTCTCTTTCCATCTAAAAGTCATTGAGTCTGTGTGGCATCTAAGTCCTTTGTAGCAGTTATGATGCCCTTCCTTATGTAAGTAGCTGTAGCTTTTTTAGCTTTATTGAGAATGGTCTAGCTTAGAAATAGATACAAAGTTCAAAAAACATTACATTTCAGGTATTCAGACATTTTAATTTTGAGATAGTGTGGAAGGAATTCAGAGATCCATCAGAGATCAGAAGTGTTTGAGCTTTAATTGTGAGGTTTTAGGTGAAATTGTAGCCTCGTAAGGAATGAGGTCTTTATGTCAAGCCTTATGCAACAAGCAGAGGCTTGTTAGTGTATCTTGCTGGTTATGGACATTATCTACTAAAGGGAAGCGAGGTGTTGCATGTAACTAGCTAGGTCTACTACTGTCAGTCCTGACTGCTAAAACCACATACCTGAGAACTCTTAGGACTAGTCACCAGGAAACAACCACAGGAGAATTGCTGCCATGTGTGGGCTGACTTTGTGGTAGTCGCTGCTCTTAGCTCTTCATTAAATTCTCCTGACATTAATAGTCCTAGAGGTGAGTGCTATTTTATCCCCTCTTGCTTTAAACGTAAGGACATTGAGGCACAGAGAAATTAAGCAGTTTCCTTAAGGTCCTACAGCTAGTGAGTGTTGGGCCTATGATTTGAACCCAGCACCCATGTTCTTACTTCTGTGACTGGTTTCTTCTGAGGCCCCACGCATTTTTTTTTTTTTTTTTTTTTTTTTTTTTGCTGGGGTTTCACTATGCAATTCAGGCTGGCCTTGAACTCACTTTGTAGCTCAGGCTGGTCTTGCACTTACAACTATCATCCTGCCTCAGCCTCCTGAGGGCTAGGATTACAAGTGTGTGCCACCACACCCTGCAGAGGTCTCACACTTCAAGTTGTGTTCCTGGGAGTGGTATAGTGAGCAAACTCATGCTCCCACTCACTTCCAGGTCGCCTGATGGTCTAACAGCCTGTGGTAGAGAACAGTCTCGGCCTTGTTCTTTCTTATGGGGAGCCAACCTGTCAGTTGATGGTAGTGAAATCTAGAGAAGATTCAGTATGTCAGCAACAGTGCCACACTATTCAAACCAGTATGTTTTGTATTTTAACTGTTAAATTAAGTGTAATGTAGATACAGAAAAGTGCTTCAGTCATAACAGTTCATACATAGATCAGTGCATAGGTTTAAGAAATGATGCCTCGGCGTTACTTTGGTGAAACTAAAAAGGGATGTTATAAAGATTATTCATACTAATAATGCTGGTTTTCTAAAGCATCAAGGAAGATTTTTCTGGGTACAGCTGGTTTTTTCTTTTATTTTTGATAGTGTTAGGGACTGCACTCAAGGCTTCATGTATTGCTAGACAAGCACCCCTAGCCCCAGAAGCAGTTAATTTTAAACAGTGTAAAGCAGTTTACTATTGATGAGGTTGGAGTTGTAGAGTTTTAGTCCCTTAGCAGCTTGGTGTTTTCCTTTAACAACTCTTCAACATTGCTTAGAATAGCTTTTCCTCTTCCTAGATCCCAAAGGATGAACATATTCTTCGGTTCTTACGTGCTCGGGATTTTAATATTGACAAAGCCAGAGAGATCATGTGTCAGTCATTAACGTGGCGCAAGCAGCACCAGGTGGACTACATCCTGGATACCTGGACCCCACCTCAGGTCCTTCAGGATTACTATGCAGGAGGCTGGCATCATCATGACAAAGGTAGGATGACCCTGACACCTTCCGTGCCTTTGGCATTGTCTGTCTTGCAGTGTCACCGAACTTCCTGAGACCTCCTGCCGCAGTGCTTGGGGTGGGGGCTGATGAGTGTGTTACCCCTCCTGGCTCTGAGGATTTGGAAGCTGTCCCCAGTGTGAATCATCTGGTGAAATGTGTCATAGGGGCAGCCAGTGAGGGGCTAATGGTGCACTTCCTCCTTGAGGATTTATATCCCCCTGAAGCAAATGACTTTACTTCCTTTCTTAGTTCAGTGGAGTCTGGTTTGACCAACTAAACCAAAACCTTTGGAGGTAATTTTTTCAGTAGCTCTGTGCTAAAAAAGAAGTTTCAGTGGCTTAAAGCTTCACAATTGGAGCAAAGTGTTCAGCCAGGTTTCCGCATCAAACCCACGAAGAACTTAATTCTGCTCTGGCAAGTATACAAAGCATAGATTGAGGAAGACACCAAAAATGAACATGTTTCACTAGCAGCTGCATTGCTTTATATACGCAGGCCTTGCAAGAGTGCCTGCCCTGGGTCAGGGATATAGCTCAGTTGCGTAAGTGCCTGCTTGGCAAGTGCAAAGTCCTGAGTTCGATTCCTGGTACCAAAAAAAAAAAAAAAAAATGCCTGCCCTGCCACAGGGACCCTCCTTGTGCTCCAGGCCTTGATAGCTGGGCAGAGGAACTCAGACGCTGGAGAGAGGGACCCTGTTTTGCTTCTGAGCAAGTCCTTTCAAAACAGAGTGGTTCAGAGTTGTCTTGCTTTTTTGCCTTAGTTGATTGTATTTCTCCAGATTAATTGTAATATTACTAATTTATTTTATTAGACTATTAATGTCAGGAGTTTATAATTTATTAAATTATTATTAATTTATGTAATATTACCAATTTATTTTTTCTAGAAATTGATTTATTTTTACTAGAAACCTTGAATTTGTATTTATTCTACCTCCTGACCCAGTCCTTAAAAGATTAAGAAGTTTGGTAGTGAAACATTGACAAAAATGTCATGTTAAATGTCAGTAGAAACTTTTTGTAAAATTTGCTTTTCTATCAGATTTGGAAGCACAGAAAACATTTGCTTTGTGTAAACGGATCTAGGGCCAGAGCCTCCTTGGAAGCGAGATTCAGCAGGTGGCAGGGCACCTGGATACCAGGTGGATGTCGGTCCCCCCGCCAGGGTGGATCTGCTGCCGCACTGTCTGTGCAGCTCCCCTCTGGCGCTGAGTGGCGGGAGTCTAGAGAACACTGCCTGAGGCGCAGGCTCTGTCCGAGGGCCTCTCCCCGCTACGGAGCTGGGGAGGGGACGGGTCATGTAATGAGTTAGGGTCCTCTCAGTTCCATCTAGTAGACCTCCAGGTGAAGGCAGAGCCACCCTTCTGGCTGGTGTGGACTTTGTGACTTCCAGAACATTTTCATTTATTTTGGTGCTTAGAAATTGAGGAAACAGCCTTTTTAAAGTCTTGACATTAACTTTTTAGTAACCTATGAAATGAAAAAAATCATTTTCGTAAAAGAGGACATTTTAAAAGAACTCTCATCATAGAAAACGTGAGTGTACGGACAGCCCTGTCCTAGCTCCCAGATGATCAGCTCTCAGCAACACCATGGCCACACGGGGAGGTGGAGCTGGGGGTGCCGGGCTCCCCTCGTCCCAGCAGCACCGCCTCCAGGTCTGCAAGGCTGCTCTGTCACTGGCCTGTTTTTCTTTATTTTGTTGGAGGGAAATGTTGGACGTGCTCCCCACACAGAAACCGGTTGCTGCTTCTAAGCGTAGGAGACAGGATCCAGCTCACCTACAGCACGGAGGAGTGTGTTTGCGAAGGGCTCTCTGCCGTGGTCCTGGGGCTGGAACCCTAACCCAGCAGGTGGCAGCAAGTGTGTCCTCTGCCTCAGTGGGGCCGTGCTGATAACAGCTGTCTCTCCCCTCCCCTGCAGATGGGCGGCCACTCTATGTGCTCAGGCTAGGGCAGATGGACACCAAAGGCCTGGTGAGGGCCCTCGGAGAGGAAGCGCTGCTGCGATATGTAAGTTTTCTGTGGGTACTGGGTGCAGGCTGGCCTGGCCTGCTGCTTGTCTGCCAGCAGGACTGTGATCCCATAAGCCTGCCCTGCTTTTGCAGTTAGAAAGGGAAATCTACTGATACATACAAAAAATTGATTTATTATTTCTTTTCTCTTAATTTTTTTTTTTTTTTGAGACAGAGTCTCGTTGTGCAGTTTAGGCTGGCTTTGACTTCACTTTGTTGTCCCATGCTGGTCTCGAACTTGCAACGATCCTCCTGCCTCAGCCTCCTGAGTGCTGGGATTACAGGCGTGCGCCACCATGCCTGGCAAAAAAAATTTTGAAGAAGGCCCAGAAGTGATAAACTTGTCATCTACCATGGAAGCCTCAGTGAAACAGTGTGTCCATTTGAGATGCTTACTGGGAGCTGCGTTTAAGCTGTCCTTGTCCTTCACCCCCAAGCCTGACCCTCCCAAGAGACCGTCCTTTCCACTGGCACTTCCTGCTTGATGCTGAGGCCTCTTTCTCCAGCCTGCTGACCTGTTTTTTCCCCACTTCAGGCCACCCCCACACCTTCCCCAGGCCTTTCTCTCTAGCCTCTGTTGCTGGCAGTGAGGTTCCCGTACCCCGGAGAAGAATCTGCTTCTTAAAAACAAACATATAAAGGGACACATCCATAATCCCATTCCCTGAATGGCCATTGTTGGTGTTTTGTGCTGTCTTCTCTTAGGTTTCTCTCCCCTCCCCAGCTGTGTGTTTATACACATACACACGTTCATGTGCACACGCATGTGAAGATGTGGAGGGAGTTCCTGCATAGGGAGGCCTTACCACTCTATTTTCAATTTTTTTTTTTGTTTTTTTTTTTGTTTTTTTGTTTTTCTCCGGTACTAGGAACCGAACTCACGACCTTGCGCTTGCCAGGCAGGCGCTTTTGCCGCTGAGCTAAATCCCCAGCCCTGGCTTTACCGCTCTAAATGAGGGGGCTCTCCAGAGCCTCACTCCCAGGCTGCTGTGGGCCAGGATGTTCCCATACTCCTCTCTCACCTCCTGCCCTGCCCAGAGCATCTGTTCGAAACACTCATTCCCAGAGTCGTGTGTTCCCTGCTCACCTGGTGACTCCCTGAACCAACATAGCTTGTTTGCTGTAGATGCAGTGCTGTTTTCTTCTGAGGGTAATCTTGTCTTCCTTGTCGGTGATGCCTGGCGAGTGTGATGATTCCCTTGGTGTTCATGCTTGCCTGTAACCTGCTGCATCAGTGCCCTGTGCTCTCACAGCCTACCACAGTGTTACCTCTGAGACTAACCCTGGCCTGTCTTTACGGTTCTTCTGTGCAGGTGCTCTCCATAAATGAGGAGGGGCTGAGGCGGTGTGAAGAAAACACAAAAGTCTTCGGTCGGCCTATCAGGTAGATAGAAAGTTTTGTTTTTCCTTTCAGCTTATTAAAGATATGAGTTAAATGTTTCTAGTTGATATATTGTATCAAAATCTGGTAATTCCCTGTTTTCCAAGGTGTTCTAAAGAATTAAAATGCCAGACATGCACCTGTGGACAGTGGGTGGGGTTAGCACATGGGGGCAGGGTGTTGTGCCTCGAGGTCACTGAGCACGTCTGAGAGGCTTTTATTACTGTTAGTGAGCAGCACTTGCTTTGGTCGTGCAGGATTGGTCGGTCCTGTCACATCGAGTCTGTGTTCTATGGGAGTATGTATAAATAGAGTTCGTAGCTCTGTAATTAAACTGGGATATATTTGGAAATGGCTATAAATGACTGTTTTATAAAATCAAAAGAAAAAATACAGGATACAGTTTGCCAAGTATGCTGCCTGTTGAATAAAACACATCTCCACACAACCTGCAGCTCCTGGACCTGCCTGGTGGACCTTGAAGGCTTGAACATGCGCCACCTGTGGAGACCTGGTGTCAAGGCCCTGTTGCGGATCATCGAGGTGGTGGAGGCCAACTACCCAGAGACGCTCGGCCGCCTCCTCATCCTCCGGGCTCCCAGGGTCTTCCCTGTCCTCTGGACACTGGTGGGTTTGGTGCTGTTCTGCAATGACTGTTAGCCATTTGGAAAACATACTCATGCGTCCACATGCCCATGCTTGTAACCATAGATGTTAACTAGTTAGGAAAAACAAAACAAATTTGCAAGGATATAAAATTTTTCTTTCTTTTCTTTTCTTTTTTTTTGGTCTTTTTGAGACAAGGTCTCACTATACAGTTCAGGCTGGCCTTGAGCTCACTTTGTAGCCCAGGCTGGCCTCAAACTCACAACAGTCCTCCTGCTTCAGCCTCTTGATTGCTGGGATTACAGGCGTGCACCACCGTGCCCTGCCCAAATTTTTCAAATTTTAAGATAAGAAAAGAAGCACAATTTTCTGTGTCTCCTAGTACTGTGCAAGTAGACCTTATAGAAAAAGTCCAGTAAACTCAGACCCCCCACACATAATACCATATTGTAACTTTAATCTTTGAGAGTCAGCAGCAAAGCATATTAAACCACACAGTTTTTTCTGATTACTTACAGGTTAGTCCATTCATTGATGACAACACCAGAAGGAAGTTCCTCATTTATGCAGGAAATGACTACCAGGGTCCAGGAGGTTTGCTGGATTACATTGATAAAGAGATTATTCCAGATTTCCTGAGTGGGGAGTGCATGGTATGTATCAAGTGGGGAGTTGCACATTTCAACATTAGGAAAAATCATTTGCACAGTAGTTTTCCCAACTTTTATTGTTTTTTTTTTTTTTTTTTTTTTTTTGTCTTTTTTGAAACAGGGTCTCACTATGCAGTTCAGGCTGGCCTTGAGCTCACTTTGTAGCCCAGGCTGGTCTTGAACTCCCAAGATCCTCCTGCCTCAGCCTCCCGAGTGCTGAGGTTATGGGCATGCACTACCATGCCTAGCTTTCACAACTTTTAGTTTGAATTATTTGTTTTATTTTTTGTTTTCTTGTCTGTCACCTTTGACCTAGGGTTGAACTGAGTAGGACCATTTAGGTAATTGTTAATGATGCCCATTATTTTTGTGTTATATACTAATGAGAATTGGTTGTAGAATCCAAGCTTAGCTTGCTTTGTTCCCAAAGCCTTGTGTGAATTAAGACTGAGGTACAGTTGGTAGAGTGTGGTCTAGCGTGTGTGAGGCTGAATGCCATTCTGACACTGTAGGGTGGGGGCTGATTTAATGCATAAAATTTCTCCCTTGACAATAAATGAACCAGAGTAACATTTTCAAAGTGGGAAATGGAAAGAACCTAGTTCTCTTTCATTTAAGTTTGGGTTTCTAAGAAAATAAAATGCTGAGTATTAAGAAATTGAGGTTCTGTATAATCAGCCAGAAGCTTGTGTGTCCAGACCCTGTACTGTACAGTAAGCAGAAGCAGAGAGGCTTAGAACTGGGAGGCCTTGCAACCTGTGCATAACTACCCACTGTGAGGGGAAGTGGCAGTCTGTAGAGGTTCCAGCTCTGGGGCAGTCAGCTGCTGCCTTGCCAGAGGCAGCTATCGTGTCATCCTTCACACTGAAGTTACCCTTTGGAGATGTTCACACACTGGGTCTGACTCCCTTCATTGCTCTAGCTATGGAATTGGACTTGCAGGGGATTTTAGCTCTCTAGTTTATCAGTTCTGCTTTAGGGAAACTGCAGTTATAATCACAGTCCAGAACAAAGACAAAGTAAATTACAGGACTATAGCTTAGCAAGTGCCTCTGAGATTAAACCATGGGGCCAAGTATGTTGAAACACATAAACTGCTTCTCTTATATAAGTTAACCACCCCATGTTGTAATTACGATCAGAACTGAGGCATGGCTTCCGGCACAGCAGTCATGGCTGCCTTCATCGTTTGCTGGTGCTGCACTGTGCTGGTCGTGTTTTTAGTCAGGATGTCCATATGCTGCCTGCTACAGTGAAACCTCTGCGCCGCTCCCCAGTGTGGCTGCTCAGGCTGGTTGTACAGGAGAGGGCTAAGGGGCATTTAACCACGGAGCAGCCTGGTGTTTTTAACATTATGTCATTGTTGGGACGTTTTTCCATTCGTGTTGTACTGGAAGCTGAGGACCTGTTGTGTTTGTTTTCTGTGTAGTTGCTTTCCAGGGCTGATAACACAGAGAACGCTTGGATTTTTATGAACTTGATCATGAAGTCACTGAACCAAGGTTAATTAGGAATATATTATACATACAAATTCTAATTCAACTTAGCCTGCTTCAAACAAACTTAAAAGAAATTGTCCTTAATTAATTTTTAGGTTATTTCATAGACCAGTCATTTGACCTGAATTACATGTGAAGCTTTATTCATTGGTTATGTCTTGAGCACAATTTTTTTTTATTTCTCAGCTCTGGTGCCAAGAATTGAACCTAGGGGCTCCTGCGTGCTAGGCATAGGCACATGTTCTACCACTGAGCTACATACCCAGCTCCAATGATAATTTCTCATAAAAACAGTGCTTGTAGTTGTTGGAAATAAAACGCTTTCCTTCACATGTTTTTCCTTTGCAGTGCAATATACATTTTTTAAATTCTTACATAAACTGGCCTTAGTAATTGAGTCCAGTACCTCATGCATATTAGTGTGACTTCTGTGGTAAACCAGTTTCAACTTTATTCAAAGTAAGACACATGTATTTAAGTGGTTTTTAAAGTATTTTGCTAAGCAGTACAGAATATTTTATGACCTTGCCAGTGTTTTCCATTTTCCAAGCTGCTTCCGGGAGCTGAATGCATAGGGATACATATGGTGCTGCCCAGCATGTTTTGTGTTCAGAGGGTTGGTTTGTCGCAGAGTGTTCACTGCCACGTTTACATTTCCAGTGTGAAGTGCCAGAGGGTGGCCTGGTTCCCAAATCTCTGTACAGGACTGCAGAGGAGCTGGAAAACGAAGACCTGAAGCTCTGGACTGAAACCATCTACCAGTCTGCAAGTGTGTTCAAAGGCGCCCCGCACGAGGTATCCTCAGGCTTCCCTGCCTCAGAGCTGTGCCCTGGAGCCCCGGGTGGCTGTCTTTTCCAACATCCAGATTGCTTTCCTGGTCTTTGTCTTCAGCTTTTGACATGGGAGGTGTAGTTTGGTGAATGATGACATGGGGAACAGATTTCTTTCAGAGTGAAAAAAAATCACTGTATTTGATCACAGAGTACCTTGAGAGGAAGCTTGGTCTCCTGATCTCTTTTACCTGGAGGCCTTTAACACAGATATGCAGAGCAAGTCTTTCTCCGTGGGAAGGTTGTTGTCAGTTCCTGAGTTTAGTTTAAATAGTGGAGATATAGAAGTTTCACTTGCTTTTTTTTTTTCTTGACTGGGCTTTGGATATTTATGTTTCTTAAGGACTTTGCTGATTTTTGTCAGTCTAAAGGAATAAGGACAAAAGAGTACATCTCTGCTTTGTCTTCTCGCTGTCACATTGTGGTGCAGAGGCAAGAGTGCTTCTGCTTGACACCGTTGTGTGTCTGCCCGTTAGCACTGTAGGTAATCTGGAGTGTGAGGACCACAGTGGCTTCATCCTTTCTTGAGCTCGAGGGCAAGCTTGTGGCTGACAGCGACGGGTGAGGACGTCAGCATTTTGTATGGAGTAGGCGTTTAGTCACTGTTTAGTGCTGCCTGGGCCCACAGTGGGGGCCAAAAGCTGATCCTTACTGCTTCTGCCAGCAGCCACCTGCTGGTCATCGTTGCTTTTGGGTCTTTTTGCACAGCTGACTCCGCACTTGGGGGCATGTAGCTAAGGGAATGTTGCTGCTGTGGTTTCAACAGCAAACACATATTTGAGGTGCCTCTCTCATAGATCTCATAAGGAGAATCAAATTTACATAACTGTCTTGAGAATCCTTGTATTAATTTCTTATTTGGAGGACAGACTGAGGAAGAACCCTTGTTTGTTGTTTATTGGATAACCATCAATCTTGTCTGTGTTATAAGAGCTTAGCAGTGTAGCCTGTCTCCTGTGAGTTACGGGGCCCTAGTAAACACCGAAACAGTAAGAGGGAAAACTTAAGTTATGCCTGGGGGAATGGGTAAAGCACAAATGCCACAGTATGACACCTGAGTGAAGTCTGCCGTCAGTGTCCCTACTGTGTGTGCTGAAAGGCGAGCGCCTGACGGCAGAGCGGGTGGAGGTGTTGGTATGGATCTGCCCCCAGGGAGCTACTTTGCTGAAAAGCACTTAGGGCCGCGCCACTAATGCCACCTGAGAAGACTGCTGTGTTTTGCTGAGTGTGCTGTTGAAGGGCATTCAGAAGTGGCACGTCAGCATGGGGCAGCGGCAGTGGTGGAATTGGGGGGGGCAGCCAGGCACCAAGGAGCAGTGCGGAGGCTGCGGCTGCACAGAGCATCCTACAGGCAGAAGCGGGCAGAGACCTCAGTGAACCTGGGGCTCCACACAGCTGCTTCTCATTCTTGCATTTTCCCCCAGTAAGCTTTTGAAACTGTAACTTTGATCATCCCTGCTGGGAAACCTTATATTGGCTCAGGATAAAATCCCAGGTTTTGAATTGGCACTCAGCACCAGTCATTTACCCTCCCTTCCCCCTAGCCATGGTGTATCACTGTTTTTTCCTTCCAGTCAGATTTTATTGGTCATTTTATGTATAGTATACATAACGATCACATTCACTTAAGAGTATGGTCTCAAGGCACATCCATTTATCTAGAAGTGTCTTAAGCTTAACCTTCTTTATGGCAGAGTAGTACTCCATTGTATAAAAAAACCCCACATCTTTATCCATTCGCCAGTTGATGGGCCTTTGGGTAGTTTCCAAGATTTGGCTATTATAAACTGTGCTGCTATAAACATGGGCGTGCATATATATTGCTGTCCTATGATGCTTTTAATTCTTTCAGGAAGATACCAAGAAGGTGAATAGCTGGGTTGAATGAAACCTCTAGTCCTCTAGTCCTAGTGGTTTTTTTTTTTTTTTTTGGTCTTTTTGAGACAGGGTCTCGCTCTGAAGTTCAGGCTGGCCTTGAGCTCACTTTATAGCCCAGGCTGGTCTCGAACTTGCAACAATCCTCCTGCCTCAGCCTCCTGAGTGCTGGGGTTATAGGTGTGTACCACCATGCCCAGCGTAGTCTAGTTTTTTGAGGAACCTCCACCCTGATTTCCACAGTGGTTTGCACAGTCTACATTGCCACCAACAGTGGAGAAGGGTTCCTTTTTCCCCACAGCCCCTCCAGCATTTGTTATTGGTTGATTTCTTGATAATAGCCATTCTTTCTGGAATGAGATGGAATCTCAGTGGTATTTTAATTTGTACCTCTTGAATGACCAGTGATACTGATATTTTTTCATATATTTGCCATTTCTATTTCTTCATCTGAGAAGTGTCTATTCATTTTAGAATAGACGGGCGTTTTGGATTGAGTCTTTAAATTTGAGGGTCTGATTTTTTTTTTGAGTTCTTTATATATTCTGCATAGTAATCCTTTGAGGAACAGCTGGCAAAAATTTTTTCCCACACTGTGGGCTGTCTCTTCACTCTGTTCATGGTTTCTCTTTCTGTTCAAAAGCTTTTTAATGAGGTGAGATCCCAGTTGTTGATTTGCACATCACTTTCTACCTGGCTGGTGTGCTGCTGCCCCCTTACGCAGGTTGGCAGTTGCCACCATGCTCCCACCCAACTTGTGCCTGGCTCATGGCCTCCCCTCCTCTGCCTGCCTCATCTTGCCTCATCTCTGCAGGCTTACCGCTGTCTTCTAGCCCAGATCAGTCTGTGTGATGCCTGTGTCCAGTCCCCAGGGGTTCTGCTTTGGGTTGGGAAAACCCAATTCTTAGAGCACCATCTGAGATGGTGCAGGCTGATTGGGGCCATTGGTGCTAATCACAAAAAACACAGGGCTTGGCTTGTGCATGACACAGCAAGAAATATTCTGAGAAAGAAGAGTGAGTGGCACTGGGATGATTGGGTGACGGGGTAAAGAGAGCCACTTGCGTGGGTGTTGTTCCCATGCTGTTCCCTTCCCCACACACAGATCTCGGCTGTGAAGTGCCTGGGGAGACATCTGTCGCATCGCTATGGGCCTCTGCTTGCAGGCTGGCTGGCTGATGCCTGTCTCTTTTCCAGATTCTCATCCAGATTGTGGATGCCTCTTCAGTGATCACTTGGGATTTCGATGTGTGCAAAGGGGACATTGTCTTTAACATCTATCACTCCAAGAGGTCGCCACAGCCACCCAAGAAGGACTCACTGGGGGCCCACAGCATTGCTTCTCCAGGAGGGAACAATGTGCAGCTCATAGACAGAGTCTGGCAGCTGGGCCGCGACTATAGCATGGTGGAGTCACCTCTCATCTGTAAAGAAGGAGAAAGTGTGCAGGTAGAGTCATGCTTCTGGGGTTGTCGGCAATGGGGCAGTGCTATTTTGTCACTGGGTGTCCTTTGTCTTCCCACCCCACTAGCTTCTGCTAGTTTTTCCTAGTTACAGTTGTGAGAAAGACCCAGGGAGCCAGGTGAGTCTTGGAGAGAAAAGACTCACAACTAGGGGTTTTAGGCAGAACTCAGGATTTGCTGAAGTGCGTGAATCTGTAGACAGCATGTGAGAGGAAGGAGGGGCGTTCTGTGTGCACACAGCTGGCTCTCATGACGGGTGGAGAGGCCCACCTTGACCTGTGCGAGGCTTCGTCCGAGAAGGTGCCCGAGGCCGAAGCAGAGGCGGGCACACTCCAGGTGCCTGTTTCCCAGCAGGTGGTTTTGTAAAATGCTGTGGGTTCGTGTCTGATGTCCTGGCCACTGTCTTAAATGCTTGTGCCAAGCCTGATGGCCCTCTGCTGCCTCTGGCCTTTGTAGCAGAGTGGGATTTGCTGTTCTCAGGGATAAACTTGCCAGTGCGCTGGTAGTTGTACATATAGAATGAAAAAGAGTATTTTTATCCCATTTTAAAAATAGTGAAACATTGTAAGCAGTATCACAGTTGTTAATTCTAGGACTAATGGAGGAAGTCATGTGCACAGGTACACTTTAGATTGATGTCCTTTTGATCCAAAGCATGCTGGTGAGGTGGCTGGACGTGCGCAGTCTGGCTCAGGGACCTTTACCTAGCCCGCCAGGCCAAGTGAAGGGCTCCTCCTGAGCATCCATTCTGCCAGGCACCTGTTTTCTCCTGGCCTTTGTCCCAAGGCGAATGGCTTCACAAGACTGTGGGGCCTTGGAGATGACAGGTATGCTGTGTTCCTGTGGCTTTTCCAGCAGATGGAAGGACATTATCAGACCACTTCTGATAGTGAAACAGAGTAGCAGGCCTGTGACCATATGGAGATGGTCTCGGAGTCACCATTAAATCCTAGTGAGACTCAGGGGCCGCTGCCTTGGCACTTATAAGACCCCTTTCAAGACGAGGACTTGGTAGGAAGTTCCTCAGCCACCTCCCTTGTTCCAGGGCTCACATGTGACCAGGTGGCCGGGCTTCTACATCCTGCAGTGGAAGTTCCACAGCATGCCGGCGTGCGCTGCCACCAACCTGCCCCGGGTGGATGATGTGCTGGCCTCCCTACAGGTCTCCTCGCACAAGTGCAAAGTGATGTACTACACTGAAGTGATCGGGTCCGAAGATTTCAGGTACTGGCTTCCCTCACTGTAGCAGGCACCCAGGGAGCTGTAGAGAGAGCTCAAAGTGTCATCAAGGGGACTTGAGTCTCTGGCTGTGGACAACAGGGACAGCAGGTCTTGAGGGTGCTGAAGGAGCAGCTTTGGACTCATTCATTGCTCTCGCTCTGCACAGCGAGAGTGGGAAAGCGTCAGCGGGATATGACTTCACTCTTGCTTGTTGCATGTTGTCACCGTGTGCAGGCCATGGGAAGGGTGTCCTGCAGTGGGACACTCACAACCCATCCCCACTTTGTAAGTGCTGACGGGGGGAGAGAGCAGGATGTGCTCCACAGTCTGGCAGGCAGTGTGGGCAGGCGGGTGGCTTGTGGCTGGGTCTTTACGCTTTGTCCCACCCCTGTGCTGTCTGCAGAGGCTCCATGACCAGCCTGGAATCCAGCCACAGTGGGTTCTCCCAGCTGAGTGCCGCCACCACCTCCTCCAGCCAGTCGCATTCCAGCTCCATGATTTCCAGGTAGTGCCGCGAAGCCTGTGCCCAGTGTTCGGAGGGGACGGCCGTGCCTCCTGGACAGCCAGCTGCTCTCCGCCTGCCTGCCGCCCAGGGCGACATTGTGCAGACTCTTCTCACCCTCTAGATAGCAAATGCTCTCCAGATGGTAAATGTAGTCATTTCATCCCAAACTATTTTGACAGGAAGTTTTAACTCCAACCCTAACTTTAACTCAATAGCCATAGATTTTGTATACAGCGTGCACAAAATCAAACCAGAGCACAAGGGCTCTCTTGAAAGACAAGTAGTTTATATGCTGGTTAAGAGATTGACTTCGTCTCAGATGATGCAAAAAATTTTTCCAACAAACTCCACCTTGCCCACTAGTGAGTGACTGACTCTGACATCCTGCAGAGACGAGCCCACCTTCTCATTTGGGACAGAAGCCTCAGCTGCCACCCTAAGCTGCACTGCAGTCCTCGCGGCTCCCCGTTAGTCAGCACGGTCTGTGGATTAATGGCAGCCCCTAGGTTCCTCCTGCTGAGGACTCGGGCAACCCTGGCTGGTCCACCTGCTGTTCTCAAGTGGGCACTGGTGGCTCAGGAGCTGCAGCCAGGGGCTCCCCATGACTCCAGGAAACACCGCCATCATTAAACATACATTTCCGCCTTCCCACATCTTTTAATATTTTCTAAGCAGGATTCTTCTGTCTGTGGGCCTGGGTGGGGTTCTCTCCCTTCCCTCTGGTTGGCTCTCTCCTGCAGGGAGGTGTCTGCGCTCTGCTCACTTCCCTCCTCTGTGCTTGCCAGCAGCTCACCCTCCTTGGCCCAGTCAGTTTCCTGCCACTGTCTGAGGGCATTTTGGAAACAGTACACTGCATTTGATGTTTCTGAACTGTGGGCACCGTGTGTTAGTGACCCGGCAGGTTCCCACAGTGCCATGTGGCTAGCGGAGGCCAGCTTCTTTGCAAGTGGAATTGTGCGTGTGCAGGTGCTTGTGTGTGTGTGGCAGTAGGGGTGGGCGGGTAGAAATGTAGTTTAAATGACAAGGGAGTCTTCATAGAAACTAATCAGAGTATGAGAGGATTTGCTCTTTATATTTTCCTTTCAACTGCCAGTTATAGAGCCTGCTATGTCTTGTGCAGGCCCTCATTTTTTTCCCCTAGCATTTTACAGGAAGAGCACATTACTTACAAATCTGTCCAGAAGTTGTATAGGGCTGATTTCAGTAATAAAGAAATGTAATACGTTTTTGTGCATGGCAGGAGATTTTAAAGATGTGTGCCAGAGCCCATATGGCCATCACAGTGGGCACGTAAGGCCTAGAGTGCATTGTGACTGCTCGGGGGTGCTGGATGGGTGGCCGTGTGACTGGAGAGGTCTGTAGAAGTCAGGTGCATGTCCCACGGGGATACCTGGTATGTGTGGGGAGGGACTGAGCAGCCCCTCTGGCTCCCCTGCACCCCGAGCCGCAGGCAGGCCTGCCTCCCTGCCTGTCTGCCTCGCTGCATGGTTCCTGTACAGCGCAAGCTCCATTGGCCCCGAAGCCTTGTTTCCAGGAAGCACGGCAGGGCGGCTTGCGTACCTGCTCTGCTTCTGGTAGTGCTTCCCATCGCCAGGTTCTAAGGACCTGAAGATGGTCCCTCTCTCTGTCTCTCTCTCTCCCTCCCTCTCCCTCTCCCTCTCTCTCCCCTGTCCCTCTTTCCTCTCCCTCTCCTCTTTCTCTGTCTCAGATGGCGATTTTGCTGATAGCTGCCAAGAAAACGCTTCACTCAACAGTCCACATGTACCCAGAGATGTTTATAGAACTCTTTGAATTGCAGCCATGTCCCCACCCCCCATGCTGAAGATCTGTTCTTTTTAAATTGACTCGGAAATGGCACTGTTTTATCCCCAAAGAGCTGAATGCATCTTTAAGAGTTCAAAGCACACGACTGCACAGACGCTTACAGGTCCCCTGAGGGGTACGACACCTTGTCCTCCTTGCAGGAGCTACAGGACATGTGTGATTTGATCATGCCATCTGCTATGGTCACTCTTTCCGTGCCCTGCCACTTTTTAAAAAGATGCTGCTGTCCTTTCCTCCTCTTCAGTACTAAAGATTCTTTTGGTTCTCCCCTCTAATACTAGTACCTTAATTCACTTTCCTTCCTAAATTCAATATTTGCATATCAAATTCTGTAAATGTTTTGTAAACATATTACCTCACTCTTGGTAATACAATACTGATAGTCTTTAAAAGATTTTTTTATTATCAATAATAAATGTGAACTGTTTAAGAAAAGTCTTTTTCTCTTATTGTGAAAATCTCCCTTGAAGAGCTTGAAATTTATAGGAGAGCAGACACTGAGGGACACAGTGCTCCTGCAGCGTGAGTCCTGGAAGCCCCAGAACGTGCTTGGCCTTGCGGGTCGCACTCGAGGGCCGCGGCGGCCTGTGGACACGCCCTGCCTTTCCCTTTGCAGATGCAGAGGGCAGATCCAGCGCTGGTAATGCCCGCTTCTAAGACCTGCTGTGTTTTGTCTTAACTCAGCTGGATCAAACTTGACTGTTGTGCCATGATACCCAATTTGATGTTCCTTTAGTAATAAAATGGGTTATTTTAAGCAAGGTGCCTCCGCAGACCGAGTTCGCAGGTATGACCCTACCGTAGCCTGGGTGCCTTGTCCCAGTTCCTCTGCATCTGGGGTCTACAGGCAGCAGAGCCCAGAGTTAAAGCGCCTGCTGGGAAGGGTCAGCTCTGGCTTGTCAGGATGCAGAGGCTGATGGCTCCCCCGCTGGGAACTGAGGTCATTCACTGTCCTTGTTGAGGTCTGTCCTTCATGGGCCACAGCCGAGAGGTCCTGCCGGCACGGGTGGGAAGCAGCAGATGCCTGTGTGTGCTGTGCAGCCTGGCAATGTGTGGCTTAGCCCAGGTGGGGAATTTGCCTACAGGCCGTTAAGCGAGGTAACTTCCTAGCCTCAGCGGTGTAGGGGGCTGGGGATGTAGCTCAGTGGTAGAGTGCTTGCTTAACATGCACAAGGCCCTGAGTTCAATCCTCAGTGCCACCAAAAAGAAAAAAATACTATGGATGTCCCTGACAACAAAACAAAGCGATAGGGTATCCCCAGGACCCCCAAAATAGGCATAGGTTCTCAGCATCTGGGGAAAAGCAGACTGAACACTGGAATGTCGGACACAAGAACAGGCGAGCGTGTGTGGTCCAAGGTCTGGTGGGAAGCCCTAGCGCGACCTCGGCCGGAAGCCCCAGAGCCTTGCTCGCCTAGAGCTTTGCATCCTACCTGCCCGCCTCACTTCTTCAAAGCGCGATGCCCCCTTGCCAAGGTGCACACCACCAAAGCAACAGTAGGGGGAGCTCCAAGGCAGTGGCGCGTTGTTGAGCCACTTCATGCTGAAAGCTTAGAAACACTTCCCTGGAAAAATGAGTATCAGAAAGTACCGAAGTCAAGTCCATACAAAGCCGTAGAGAAGCAGGAGCAGATAACAACCCTACAGTGAAAAGCATACCTGCCAAAAAGGTAACAACTAAACACTAAGAACAAACTTTTAGGGGCTAGAGGGTATAGCTTAGCTGCACAGGGTGCCCGCCTGGCAAGCACGAGGTCCTGAGTTCGGTGCCTGGTTCCAAAAAAACAACAAACAAGAAAACTCAAAAACTGACTTTTAGCCAGGTATGATGGTGCATACCTAATCCAAGCTACTTTGGAGGCTGAGGCAGAAAGATGGCAAATTTGAGGCCAATCTGGGCAATTTAGCAAGACTTCATCTTGATAACAAAGAAAAACCCAAAATTTTAAAGCAAAGGGACTTGAAAAAATGAGGCATAAAAAGGCATAAATGAGAATTTAAAAGCTGAGAAATGAGATGTCAGAACTCCAAAATTGGAAACAAATGAAAAACTCATTTCAGAAATTGACACTTAATTAGAAGGAATCCAAAAAAATAAACACAGCAGATAATGCCGAGTGAAAAAGGAGAAATCAAAAGGGGAGAAAAAGAAAAGACTTTGTGACAGTATGGAAGAGAAACCAAACTGTGTGGTGGTGCAAACCTATAATTGCTGCACTCCGGGAGGCTAGGCAGGAGAATCACAGGTTCCAGTCCAGTCTGGGTGACTTAGACCCTGTTTCAAAATATGAAATACAAAAAAAAGGGGATGTATCTCAGTGTGAAGGACCTGGGTTCAATCCCAGTATCACACACACAAAAATACCAAGATCAAACATGGATAATATCGAAGGAACAATCACCTGAGAATGACTGGAATCAAGAAAAGATTTTAGTAAAAGAAGGGATACATTTAAAAAAAGTTCCTGGGGCAGCTAGAGAGGGAAAAGGAGCTTTTCAAGGGCTGAAATTTTAGGCCAACAGCAAATAGAATAACCACAATTTCTCAACAAAAGCAAAACTGGAAGGGACCTTGGTGACACTGGTGGAGTGCTGATGCAATGGCAAGCAGAAACACCAAAAACGACACCCAGGATTTGGAGGCAGATTTATTTTATGTCAACAGGCACTGACTGGGGTCATTCCCAAAATATCAGGCCCTGATCTCTGGTGGTCTAGGGTTTATATGGGATAAGCAAGCAGGAAGGACAGAAGCAGACTGGAACTTAACAGAGGGCTCAGTCAACTGGGGGTTGGTTCTTACAGTATGCATCACAGTGACCAGCTGTTCTAGGAAACAAAAATAACGAACTGGAGCAGAAACTGTTACCTGAGCAGCCAACAAACTGACGTATACTGGCTGGTGGGAGCGGGCATCTGCTGCTACGGCTGGACTCGGGCAGTTTCCCTCCCCTAGCCCTTTCTGGGGCTTTCGAGGAGCAGCAGGCGACCTGGCTGGAAGAGGGCCCAGGCTCTCTCAGGGCTGTATCCCTGACAGTGGATTGGTGGGGGCAGATCAGGAGGGGTGCGTGCAGGAACATTCACTAAGACTGCATAACTCTGTTAGTGACAGTATTAACATTGCCATTCTGAGAGTGGCTGCGTGGTAGGCTGATTATGGAACATTCTGAATCCTGGCATCCCTCTGTCCCATGTCCCAGATTCCATGTGGAAGCCACAGGAGGAAAGAGGTTAAATAAAAATTCTACTGTCCCAAATTTGGATTGGAGGGTGAATATGAAGTCATGAGGGATGGGGGGGGGCATAAACTAAAGGAGCTTACTAAATTTTTAATAAGTGGGCAAGACTGAGTTATTTTACCTAGAGATACACACTTGGGTGACAAAGCAGTTTAAAAACAGGGATGACTGTAGTAGGCAGCACGAGCTGTGGCACACATGATGGGACAGTCCCAGCTCAGGCTGTGCCCATTTGACTTGTGCGGTTTTTGTAATTTATAGTAAAAAGATTTGCTGTTGTTTTGGGGTGTGTGTGTGTGCGTGTGCATGTGTGTGGTAAAGGCTTTAAACGGGTGAGTTTGCCTTGAAGGAAAGTATTGCTAGCTCTTTACTTGGGCCACCTTCCGTCCAGTTCCCAGGTACCCACAGGAGCTCAGCTGCCCCTGAGTGTGCTGTGGCCAGGCCGGGGACTGCAGGGCACCAAGGCAGGCACTTGACTACTTCTCCTTCATGGTCCCCAGGAGAAAATGCAACTACTCCAGTGAAGGCTCAGAGCAAGCCTGTCTCCCCTGCGCACACTGTCTGCAGGAGTTGCAGGTGAAACCCAGTCTGGCTGCCGGGCTGTGCCCTTTGCTCGTAACCCAATGGTCCCCTGGTACAATGGCCTGACCAGGCAGTAGGCTGAGGGAAGCCTGCTGCGGGGGTCCTGCCTGTGAGCAGTGCTCCTCGCCAGCGGGCACCTTCCTCACCCTGCCAGAGTCCTTGCCCTTTAGCTTCTCGCCTCAGAGGACCATGATAGCTGATCCTAAGCATTGCCATGGTTTGAGTGTGGAATGTCCCCCAGAGGCCTGTGTGTCAAAGGCTCAGTCCCCAGGGTGGCCCTGCTGGGAAGCGGTGGAACCTTTCAGAGGTGGGGCTAGCAGGAGGCATTAGGTCACGGGGATGTGCCCTGGAAGAGGGTAGTGGGATCCCAGCTGCTCATCACCCTCTTGCTTCCTGGCCATGCGTGAGTGGTTTTGCTTTATGACTCCTCGACATGCTTGTGCTGCCCTACCACAGGCCCTAAAGCACAGATGGGAACCAACAAAACTGTGAGCCAGAATAAACCTTTCCTCTTTATAAGTTAACTACCTCAGGTGTTTCATTAGAGTAATGTGAAGCTGCCTGACCTGGGTGAGGGGTGGCCAGTTTCTGTGGAGGTGACTCTAGATGAGTTCAACTGTACATCCACAGACTGAGTAGAGCAGGCCGACCTCCCTGATGCAGGTGGGCCCTGTCCAATCAGGCGAAGGCTCGTCTAGACAAAAACACCAACAGAATTCTCTGGCTTGACTTCTTCAGACTGGGACACCATGGGCTGGGGATATAGCTCAGTGGCACAGTGCCTGCCTGGAAAACACAAGGTCCTGAGTTCGATTCCTAGTACCAAAAAACAAATAAGCAAACTGACACCAGATTTTTCCTGCCTTTAGACTTGAACTTTGGCTCTTCCTGAGTCGTAGGGAATCCCACTAGCTTCAAGTTCAGCAGAATCACACTCTCAGCTGTCATAGTCTCTAGTTGGCCAGCTGCAGAGCTTGAGACATATCAACCCCCCTAACCACATAAGCCATCCCTCACCTACATATTAGTCATATGTCACAGCTTTTTGGTCAACAAGACTGCAGACATGATTGTGGTCCCACAGGATTACCATAGAGCAGAAACGGTTCTGTAGTAGAGCATGTGCTTAGTACATGCAGGACCCTGGGGTCATCTCCAGCACCACCCACGTGAATCCCAATCACCCGCAGTAGCTGTCTTGACTTCGGAGGTGCCACAACATGTTCAGTGTGCTGGTGGAAACAAACCTAGTTGTTTATAAGGACAGCATACACTGTTAGGTACAGGACAAAATACTTCTCATGGTAATAAATGACTATGTTCCTGGTTTATGTTTTCACCTTTTGTTGTTATTTTAGAGCATCCTTCTACTTATTAAAAAAATTGCTGTGAAACAGTCGTGTCAGCAGCAGCCTCCTACATGCCCGCTGAGCGCATCTCTTCTTCTAGGCTGTGAGTGCACTCTGGTGCTCACGTGACCGGGTTATCTGCTGGCACACTTTTCAGGCCAGTTCCGGTCATGAAGGGACATGTGACTGTGTGTACATACTGTATTTCTCCGAAAATAAGACGGGGTCTTAGAGTAATTTTTGCTCCAAAATGATACAATAGGGT